TCTGTGAGTTGTTTTTTGGGTTGGGGTTTTTTTTTTCCAGCCGTGTCATACCTAGCAGTATTGCTGGTTCGAGGGTGCCAAAATCAAAAACCTAGGCCAGAAAAGATCATTTAAGGGAAAAAGAAGACCTAGAAACAGCTAAAAAGGTTTGAATTGTCATTCTTTGCTTTCTGTCTTTTTATTTATTTAGATGTTTCACAGTATGTGTGGGTCACATTTTCCTGCAGTTCTCTAATACTAAGGAGGCTTAGAATTATGGTTTATGAATTTTAATGAAGGTTGAGATTATTATGTAATCATATGCTGGGGCTTTAATTAAACCACCAAATAGGAGAAGTACTGCATTTAGAGAGGTGAGAGCTGAAGATGCTAATTTTTAAATGTCTTTGTTCTACTTTGGCATGGATATCTCAGATATCTAATGCAGGCAATCCCTTATACCATTCCTTACTCCTTTGCAGGTATCATTGCATTAGTGAACATCTGGTTTACATTTAAAATTTGGGTTTACAACCCTTAAGGCCTAGAGACTTCATAGTGTTTATAGTGAAAGCCTGAGTTTTAGAGCACAGGCTACCACCCTACACGTTCAGAGCGAGCTAGCCCCTTTTCACTTCTCTTTTTCTCTCTGTAACTGTGATTTTGGTATTAGAGTCTTCTCCATTCCTGCCTCCTCTTCCATCCGCAGTCCTTGCACTCAGCTGGGCTGGGAGGAGGCTGTTTTCCCTTGAGACCTGTTAGTCAATTAGTAGGGTAGAGGGAGCCAGTTGACTTTAGCAAAACCCATGGTTTTCTGCATTCTTGTACATGCAAGAGTTGTTCATGTTGATGAAAGCTGGCTTCATCTTCAAGTGTTAAAACTGTCAGAGCTGGGTTTCCAGGACAGTTTTAGATGAAATGTAAAGTAGATACTTTCCTTCTGAGAGAGACTGCATGCATATAAGCAGTGTGGGAGTTTGATTTTGGTTTTATCCTCCCTTTGCTGCTGCTGGTACACTCAGCCTCAGCAGCCTGGTCAGTAAGAAGGATAAAGAAAAGTAATTGGATGGTGTGAGGCTGTTTAGCATCACTCTGGACCAAATCGATAAACAGTAGTTTTTAGAGGTGGTAGGGTCTGGAACAAACCCTTCTGTTAGTGATAAACATAAATCCTTCTACTTCCAAATGCATTTTTGTGTCTGTATCTCTGTTTTCATGCATGCACCAATTAAACAACATATTTTTTTCTTTTTTTTCTGATTTCAGAAGGTTGACTCAGACTCAAGTGGATTTATTCACACTCTATGTTTCTGAGTGTTTGTGGTTGGTTTGTTTTGGTTTTGGTTTGGTTCTTTTAATACTGTTTTCTTCATCTTTTGATTTCTATAAAGTTTGTGGATATTGCCTGATAGGTCAGTCATACTTGCTTTCCTCCTTTTCTACATATCATACTCCAGCACTTGCTGTTTGTCCAGTCAAAGAAGATCTTTCCCAGGTTCAGAAGTAATCTAGCACAGTGTGGCTTGTTGAGCTAAAGGGTGTCATATGGAGGCCAATCATCCCTCTGTAGGATGTTGGCCTGGCAGAGATTTTTTTTTTTTACAAAGGCTCTACCTGTTTATTTAATTTGTTTTCTGTCTTATGTCTTAAAGCTTGAGGCATTTTTGTAAGTGTGATATACTTTTTATTTCATTTTTAACTCCTTCACTCCTTTGTTACTATGGACCATTGCAGATATGCCAAGAACATTCTAGCATCAGATGAAATACATTTTAAAGTCAAGTAAGATTTGGTAGGTTATAAAAATGTGAGGAAAAGGTTGGCTTCATAGGGTCATGCATTTTACTACCATGCTTGAAAACTGCCTAGAATTGGCAAGGTCTCTTACCATTCTAGAACTCTTCCTTTGCTTCCTCGTGCTCACCATTTTACCAGGTGATAACCACAGGGTTAACTCAGTAGAGCATCCTGGCATCGTATATGACATACAAAGAGAGAACAGTGGTGTTGAAATTCTTTTACACTAGGGGCAATGGATCTATCAGCAAAAATACAAACATGGCTGATTCCACAAAGGCACATTTGTAGAGAAATGAAATGAAATGCGGGTTGTGTAATTTGCTATGAGGAGTTAGCAGTTTGCTAATATAACAGTGCCAGAATAAGCAAGGCGTCACTCCGTTGGTTCCAATACATTTATGACTGGTTGCTTCATTGGTGACTTTGGCCTCTCTGCCGTAAGTGATTTTGGTTGTTAGATGCTGAGAAATGGAGCAAGGATGAGTTGTTACAGCCTTTGGACTAATTTTTCACTGTAACATTAGCTGCTGCTGCAACATCCAGTTTGTGGAGCACCCCAGGATTGCCCACACCTTGTAGAGGAGCAGGGCTGGAGATGGGGGACCTGGGCCAAAAGGCACCTGCAAGGTGTGGAAAAGGAGGAGCAGCGGAGCAGAGCAGGGGCTGGGGAAGCGCAGGAGAGCACTCCGGGGGCTGAAAAACTCTGTGGAGACGTGAAGCACCAGGCAGTAACTGGGGAACAGGGAACAGGGTGGGCAAACTGTGCCTGAAGAAGAATTGAGTGTTTAAGAGGACTTGATTTGGGCTTGAGGATTGGTGGTGATCACAAGTAACCACACCTGGCACATGTCAGTCTGGTTTCCTGGGACTGGCTGGACTGGGACCATCCCTATATTCGGTGCACCTCCTCTAATGGGAGCAATAACTCCAAGCTTGACTCTTAACTGTGTTGCTTATTTTTGGCAGTACTAGTAAAGGAACCCTTCGCTTTTCAGTAAACTATGGATTCAGTGAGGGTAGGAGCATCAAAAACCTGGCAGTGCAATCTCATGGTACACTTGGTTTTGAGGGTGTGGTACGCACTGCCAAATGTCTGTAGAGCCTGGAGAACCACAGTAACCATAGCCAGGCCTGCAACATTAATCCTTTTTTCTTAACTGTGAAATAACAGGCATACTTTTTGTGCTAATTTTGCTGGTAGGAAGTTGTAGATAAAGATAGCCCTTATCATGCTGGGAATCACAGGTGGTCAGACTCATGCTAAATTAATTTTTCTTTAGCCAAGTAAATTAAGAAAGCGGGCACCACTTCCCCACCAGACATAGAGGCTGAGGAGTTAAAACTGAAGAGGTTTTCTTGGTCCAGAGTGGCAGGAGCCAGGGAGGAAGCACAGGTATGAGGGTTTTGGCAGAGGTTCTGTGAAGCACATAACCTTTGGTAGATGCATCTCTTGGTAGCTTTTGCATGCCAGTTATTTACTGAGAGGCCAGCTTTCATAAACATCAAAGCTCGGTTTCATGCAGTAATAAGCAAATGTAAGAGTATGGAGAAACAAACAGGGAAAGCTGGCATAGCCAGTGTTTCCACCAACAGTATATGGAAAAAGGAAATAATTACAGTAAAACGAGGGGGTCGGTTGTGAGGCTGTATCAGGTAAAAAAATGGTGCGACATTTCTGATCTTTGATGCCTGTCTGCGTGTGCAGTTTGTCTCCAGTTATGGGGGTAGGTAATTGTAAGTAATAACTTAAAGAAATGAAGGGGCCCTTGGAGAAGGAAAGGATAAGTAGGAACATTGATGGAGAAGATAAAGATTTCTTATGAGATGTATGTGGCTTTCCTCATTTTTTGAAGTAATTTTAATTTCTTGTCCTGGGGTGAGTCTTTCAAAAGCATATTCTGCAATAAGCGTAGGTTGTGAATCTCATTGCCTACCTCTGACCTGGGAGAAGGCGTTTCCTTTGGGAAAGAATGTTCGGGAAAAGAGAGCAAGAAAATGTTTGTGACTGTTAAGTCATTACATGTCACATTGACCCTCCTATCTTTCATTCACATATTTTTATATTTGCATTAAGCTATGCTTGTATGAGTAAGAAAAAGCATTACCCAGAAGAGATCCCTGAACAGCCGTGAAAAAAAGCCAGCTCCCAGGCTGGAACACGTGCCGGCCGAGCGCTCAGAGGCAGGATTAGCAGCGGCAGCCACCTTGTGTGCTGCACAGCTCGGGCTCCACCGGAGCTGGGCCTTGGCACTCCCGGGTGCTTTCCAGGGTTTTTTAGGCAGGCGTGAGGATAGCTTTATTGTCAGCAGTTCACATTTACCCATAATCTTCGGATACAGAAAGCAGTAATAAAGCCTACTAGGTATTCTCTCTCCTCTTTCTTTGTCCCCCACCATGACATATACGGAAAGAGCTGCTGTGTGCAAATTGTATGTTGCTTAAAGAAAGAGAGTGAGTGCCTGTGTTAGCATACAGTTATGAAGTACAGTAGAAAAAAGATGAGAGAAGAAAAATTATTTTTTTCTGGAGTCCATCTGTACTGTCCAATGTCTGACCACTTGTCTCACAACACAGTCTCCTGTAGGGTTGCACGGAGGATTTGAGAGCTGAATTTGGGCTGTAATTAATGTTTGCCTTCTCTTTAACTTGAGGCGCTGTATACCATCACAAATCTTAATTTCCACAAGAACGCATCATCTCTAAACTCTCTCGGTTTCCCCTTTGCAATGTATTGACCCCAACCTGTTTTCCTTTAGAGGGTGTATGCCTACTTTTTTATTAAATTGAGAATAATTTAGTGGTGAGACAGAATTAAAGCTGTCTCTAACTTTCATGCCTGGTATAAAACATGCATTGCTGTTTAATCAAATGTCCCCTGGTTTTAGTAATGTCCTTGCTGATATATCAGCTCTCCTTTTGCCAGATCAGTATTAAACATTTGGCTAAAGCTGAATCTGTGGCAGTGGGAATTTTATTGGCATGAGCAGTGTTGTGAGGCTAGATGTGTTTTGGCTCTGAATTTAAAGGTACAAAGTTATAGTAACAACTCCCAAGCCTTCTCACCCTCATTATGAAGCTAAAAGCTGCGTGAAATAAACTGTAAAAGCAAACCTGGCTTTTTTAAAAGAAAATGAGCAATGGATATAAAAGCATGAACGTTTCAATTAAAGCTAATGAGCGCAATTTCTCACTTACCTGTGCTTTTCTTTGTTTTTCAGCTCATGGGGCATTCTGAATGGGATCACAAACGAGGACCCAGAGGCTCACAGGTCAGTTGCTCAGTATTTTGTGTTTGGTTTTGGCGTTTTGTAAGTTTGAGTTATTCAAGCAAGTTTTCCATCTAAGATTGGCAAAATTGCTCATTTTGTTAATATTTGCAGGATTGAATCAATGGAAAAAAGCATAAAACCGTGACAGGTTTCATTAGTATAATTTTTGAGCTGTAATCCAAACAGTTGATCCAGACAGAGCTGAGTCATGCAGCAGAAAGTTTCTTTCAGTAGCAGAAAGATGGATTAGATGTATTGAGAAAGCAGTTCTTATGCAGCTGTCTCCGTCGGGGTATCAAAGGAATGCAATTTCAAATAATTTGTGTATGTTTTGTGTTTTGTTTTTGTTTTTTTTTAAAACCTGACAGACTTGTAAAACGTGGATGGCCCTCTCACCATGTTCAATAATTAAGGGATTAGTGGTGTTAGAACTGTATGGGGAGTGCAGGAAAGCCATGTGTAGCTACTGGTTTGCTCTTGACACATCATTGAAAGGAAGCTGTGCTGGTAGTGTTAATGGCATCATGCTGATACATTTTTAAATTATCTATAGAATTAAAGTTGCTGCAAAGGAGACATTGCAAAGGAGACCAGTACTGATGTTCAGGGATTTTCCTGCTTGGATAAAGCAGTCTTTCCTGTCTGGTGTTGAAATTATATAACTGCATTACTAGGACTTTGGTATTTTGGAATTGCTTTTCCTTCAGGTGAAGGATTTTTATACAAATATGAACATCTATGTCTAAATCTTTAATAAACAGGCTCTGCTGCTGTGGAGCTACATGTTTGCAACCTTAATCTCAGTAGGGTAGTTCCTAGCCTAACCTTCATTATGCCCCTTGCAAAAATCACTGGAGTACATGACTTTTTAATGAGAAAATATCATATGTTAATCAGGATGCTGCTACTTATTTTATAGACAACATTGACTATTTTTAATGTAAAATTAATTTGCTAAGTTTTGCTTTTTTGCCCTTCTTGTTGCAGAATTTTGCATTTTTTTTTTTCTGAAGTTTTGTAAGCTTCTGTCTTGCATCTCATTGCAAAACCATCTTGAAATTTGCAGGAAATTCAGTATTTCATTAAACATTTTAAGATGGGTTGCAGATCTGATTTTTTCAGGTGACAATCTGTCATTTCAAAAGGATTAAAAAAAAAAAAAAAACCCCAAAACAGAAAGCAAGCTAGTTTTCCATGGAAACTGAGGAATTTCAGAAATCAGGGAAATCCTATCCAGAAAGGTGACACCTGTTCAGTAAGTAATCTCTCCTGCCTCATCTGGTGTTCTAGTTGATCGCGTTGTGTTCTTCTGGTCCAAAGAGTAGAAGGTAAATTGGATTCCTCTAAACTACTGTTAAGAGGAAAGCAGTTAGTTGAAGGACTCTTAAGGTGACAGACTTCTTAAACTTGTCTAGCGTTATTGCAAATCTTCATCTAATTTTTTTATGCATATGAAAATATGGGTAGTCTTTCGTATGCTCTGAACCATGCCCTACATTCCTTATGCTTTGCTTATGGCAGCAAAATATTTAGACACTGCTGACTGGAGTGCATATGAAGTCTGCGCTGGTGTTGCATCAGAGACAGGCCTAAGTCCTGTCTAAGTCCTCATGCCTGATACATCCTGTTGGCTATGTGCCTCCATGCTTGAAGGATTTTTTGTTGTTGGCTAGACATTTTTGAAGGTTTACAGCTAGCCAATAAGAAACGTTAGAGAAAGGGATTTAGGTGGAAGCTAAGTGGTATCAATCTGGTCCAAATAGATTTTAAATTAAAAGGTAAGATGGATCAAGTTGACTATCAAAAATATATCTTGCTGCAGGAAATTGAACTCGGGCTGTTTAATAGATCCCTTTTGAGTTTTCTGAAAAAGTGAACTCACAGGATGAAATAGTTGCCAAAGAATTTTTTAATTATTTGTTCTCATGAGGCTATGGTTTCTTCCAAGGAGGGTTCCAGAGAAATTAATACATTGCCTGGTTTGTCTCTTTCACCCCTTCGTGAGAATAAGGAAGGCTTGCATGGCATGGCCTAATTTCAAAGGAAGAGGTCTCGTGGGCATTAACTCAGTTGCTGCAAATGCCCATCTGTATGGAGCGCAAGTAAAATCATTCGTTGTGTACTGTTAGGGAAGGCTGTACTTGGGTAAAATGAGATAACTGGTTACTAAACATATAGATGAAGTTCTCTGGGTTTCAGTAGAGGCTGAGAAGAAGGTAACTGTGAGAAGATAACTGTATAAATTCAGAAGTTTTCTCTATCTTTCTGAGAACGGTTTTGTTCCTTGTGTGATGTTTTAGATACCCCACCACCATTTTATATTTAAAAAAAAAAGGCGGGGGGAGGTGATGAGAAGTTCAGTGAAATTCTCTGCAGGTCAGCCTGCAGTCGTTTGAACCTTTCCTGAAGGATATTGTTGAATTATTAAAAGCATTATTCTAGAAAACTCTGTATCAGATATTCATGTAGAAGACTCCTGCTGATTATTTTTTTTCTTAGGCAGAATATCTTTTAATTTTATTTTCTTAACAAAATAAGCAAAAATACCTCATCCCTGAGAGTGCGTTCCTTCAAAACAGGATAAAATCTGCATATGTAGGGTTTCCTTGACAGAGCAATGAGGTGTTTTCTTCTCAGTCCATCTAAAAAGAAGTGCATAGTTTTAATCAATTTCATCCTGTAAGCACTCTTCTATTTCATTTGTGCTGTGTATAGGTGTTCTGCAAAGCTTCTAGAAAGCTACTTACAAATCTTGGAAGAACTGTGTAAAACTAACAATCAATACATACCACAGAAATGTTAAAAGACCTTGAATAGGGTGGGAAAAGAAAATGACCCAAGTTCTGTGATTACAGCGTGGTATCCTAGTGCCCAGTCACAAGAAGCAAAGAAGAAAAGTTTCATTGGGGGAAGAAAATAAGCCTCAGTTATTCCACTGTGGCCTCAGACTCTCTCTCTTTTACATGGCTCTGAAAACTGTCTTTGATAGGAATAGCGTTAAATCTAATTTAACTAGTTCCTTGAAAGGTTAGGGGAAATTTAGAAGGTTCCGATTTTTTCATGTAATATAAAAGACCTCTTTTACCCTTTTGTGATTCAGTTGCATTGTGGCCAATTTGTGTCCTTAATAAATGTACCTTTTGTTAAACAAGCTCTTGCTTAAACGTTGAGTAATCTGTTAAGGTATACTTCTTCAAATCTAACGCATCAGGTGTTTAAACATGGACGGGCAGTTGTCTGCAGGATCTGCCACGGCGTTGCTTATGGTGTTTTGCCACATCTGTGGGGCTTTCCTCCAGCAGAGAAATGGGTCTTGGGAGGAGAGGTCTCTCCTGGCCAGTGGTAGCCTGCGCTGCTTGGGCAAGCAGCAAGAAGGAAGGAAGGAAGGGGTTTAGGCTTATGTTATTGGGAGAGAATTGATTAGTCTTCTATGATCTTTTAATTCTTACGGAGTAAAGTGAAGAAAGTGGGAAGATAGATCTTAGGAAGCCACCTCTGTGTGTGAACGTTAGCAATGTCACTTGTGAGAAAAGGAAGTGGAACCACTGGTTTACCATAATGTAAAACTAAAATCCACATATAACCTCATAAAATTATTCTACCAAGGCTCATTAAACAAAACTTTAATTCTGTTAAGATTTTTTTAAGAACTAGTAGGTTTTCTATGGTATGTCTTGAAACATGAGAGGAAACTACTACGGTGCATATCGTACTTCTTAATGACCCACTTGGAAAATATATTCCTTTTCTGCATGTGGGAGTTAAATGCAAAGTGATGTAGTTACAGGCAGTGATGGCTGTCAAATTAAATACACCGAGGCTTATGGGAATTTCTGTTTGCAGGAATTTGTCTCCTGATAAGCACCTGCAATTCAATAGAATGTAAATGGGACAAGTAAAAAGCTGTCTTTACAATATTTAACTTGCTCCCGACTTCCACACCAACACCGCACTCACTTTTTTGTAGATTACACACGTATATATGTACATGTATGTGTGTATATTGTAGGATTCCTTTTCTTTTAGAATAATTATACTATTAAAGCTGCTGTAATTAGAGTGAATTATAGGTTGCCTTACAAAGAGCAATGAGTTCCTGGCTACCTGCTTTTTTTTTTTCCTTCTTTCTTTTTAATCTCTGAAGATAACTTCCTGCTGTAAATGCTTCATGCAGAGAACTTACTCTGTAGATTTGAAATCATGCAGAAAGTGCAAAGTTAATTTCATTATGTTCCATGCTTAATTTTTGAAATTAATACAGGTTAGGATTTAGGCACGAAACTTTGAAATTGAGTTCCAAGTTAAAGAAATTCCTAAATATTTAGGAATGTTTAACCCACCTAAAGAAACATCTCTCTCAAGTATACATATGCAGTCTGTAAAACCACATCATCTCACTCATATGAGGGGAAAATATTCATACCCATTTCTAATATCAGTATAAGCTACAAGAAAATGTGAGTAGCAGAATTCATCCTTGGCATATTATCCCTCTGCAGAAAAAATATGCAAACTGTATTTTAATTATTCTACTAAAACATAATACTTGATACTTCTAAGATATTTCAGGTGGGACCCATGGCACACTTTGTGCACACGTTTTTATGAGGGACCTTGAATGTGTGGGAGTTATTTGTTGCTCTGTCATCAAGACTTGTTTGGCTTGCTGAAGATGTAGGCGTAGCCCTAGGAGTCAGTGGAATCGAGTGATCGTTCCTCCAACATTATAAAAGGATGATAATTGGGAGAGAAACACAGAGGTCCAGTGTTTTTAATTCTCTTTAAATATAAAAGCTCTCAATTATATATCTGAGGTGCTGCATTTTACCCGGCCAGTTCCTAAGCAACAGCTATTTTCAGATTGAGTGCGTCTGGTGTTGTCTACCTACTTCATGCTTTTGCGAGGTAATTCGTCAGTGAAAGCTAGGCTTTTCACTCTCTCGCCCGATTCCCTTTGTCGTGGCACTGTAAGGAGACGGATGCTTTAGAGAAACAGGAGA